ACTGGCAAAAGTTGTTCTCCGCTTCTCGCCGTCCAAAGACCTTAGCTCACCAAAGACATTCGAGACTTTGGATTGACTTTGGGCCCGCGTTCTTCACTTCGCGACGGGATATTCCCTACCCTTCCGGAAACGGCGATTCGATATCAGCCGTACCGTACCTTTCTCACTCTTTTTTCTCTCTCAAAGCTCACTTTTGAGAGAACCTCGGACCCGATTGGCAGCACCTCTGTACGCCCGCTGCTCAGCTGCGTCTGTCGTGTCTCTCTTTGCTGCGAGTCTAGTGGCCGCTTCGGGACATTGAACAATTGACCATCGCACTTGTTTCCGAATATTATCGTCGTTGTCGTCGGTCAGCAGCTCTGCGGACCAGGGAGCTGGTAGTGCTAATAGGGGTGGTACACCAGAAGAAGCGGTTGGACAAAAGGCAGAGAGGAAAGAGGGAAAGTTCCAGCAAAAGTCGCCGAAATATGCTACTGCACGGGACCCAATCTCCCTCCCACGCCCTGGAGGCGGATCAGCACCAGCACCAGCACCAGCACCAGCATCCGCAGGCGAGGCAGCTAAGGCGCAAACGAAAGGCTGAGTCCCAAGACAACGAACGTTTATCCAAAAGGCTCAGTCTTCTGAATTTGGGTAAGTCAACTGCCACAACACGAGCCCACGACAATATAAGCTTTCTTTCCGCTTTCATACTAACGCATCATGCAGAGAAGAATGGCCAGAAGCTCTACGTGCCCGTGGAGGAGCCGACTCCGTCTTCAAGCATTCCAATCCCCGCAGACTCGTCGTCAGCATCCACATCTCCTCCCACCACCCGTCGCCGACGTCGTGATCGCAAACCGTCCGTCGATGAAGAAGTGATGCAGCTCGACGACTCCAAGCACAAGGTCTACATTTACAACATTGACGATGAGCTGTCCTCCTCCGAGAGCGAACCCGACGAGGGCAAGCTCGTCTTCCTCCCGGACATTGAGAAGCACCTGCGTCAGACGCGCATTCCTCCCTCCATTTTCGCCAACGACGAAGGTCAGCTTGCTGGCATGCAGGTGGTCCTCTACAACGAGCCCGCGTCCTTGACGGTACCTCGTGAGCAGGATAGTGTTCGCAAGGCCATCGTCGAGTCGCGCGCCCGCATGCGCGAGAGGCAGCGTCTCGAACGCGAAGGCAGAGGCGCCCCAGTGCAGATGCCTCCGCCCTTCGTCTCTCAGCAACCTATAGACGCCATCATTCCGGACCCCCCAACCCCGACCGGGATGTCGGCACCTGTAGACTACGATCCCGACGCCATGGATATGGACTAAGGGGACCCTCCAAGGCAAGTAATGATTGTGTATTTTATGACGATACCCTACGCCGTCACGAATGGGCATGTGTTATTGCGAGACCCCCGGCATCTTTAGCCAGGTCAACGACGCGTTTTTCATTGGTATCATTTCGATTCGTGTTGGTAGAAGTTACTACTTTGTACAATTGACAACAGTTATTTGTAGAAGCATCCAGCCGCCATCTCTTTAGACATGCAGCCTCGATGTGTGAGATCTTGCAGCTTCTTGACGGAGAAGTCACTTCCTGGTGCATTCCCATCTTCAGCTGCGTACTCCCGTCTTGATGATTTCCAGCCTCATCTCGTCTTTGATTCGTCTCTGGCCAACAATGCAAATTCCTCCCACGCTTCGAAAAAATCGCCATTGCAACAACGTCAAATCAACATGCCACCTCCCCTCCGCTCCCGTCCTCACTGCGCCCTATACGGGTACGGCTGACCGGTGTGGTTCGCCGCAACAGAGGGCTGCGGCGGCGTGACGCCATACTCCTGGGACGGGTCGACCTTGCTGCCGCCGTCGGGGGGCGCATACATGGGGGGCCGGGCCGAGTTGGGGTCGTAGGTCGGGGGCGGCATCCCCTGCATGCCGTAGTAGCCGCCGCCCTGAGCCTGCGGGTGGGTGTTGTAGTACTCGGGGCGGTAGGTGTTGTAGGTGGCGGCGGGCCAGGCGTAGCGGCTGTCGACGCGGGCGAGCTGGGCGCGGCTGAAGAGCCAGCGGTGGTAGCCCAGGGGCAGGAGGCCCTTTCTCAGGCGGCGCTTGCCGTGGGCGTAGCCTATGATGAGGAAGGCTGCGAAGAGGGTCGTCAGGCCGAGGAAGACGGACCACTTTACGATGACGCCCGTCTATTTGGAATATGTTAGTTATGAAGGGACCAAGATGACAAGCAGTTAGTGAATGAACTTACCCGACTGTACCACCATGGAATAGCCCGTCCATTCTGTATAACCCAGCCGGGAGGGAGGTCGTTCGAGTTGACCACCGTCTGGCGAGCGCTCAGGTATGCGGCATCCATCTTGTGAATTGTGTGATTGCAGGAAGTCGGATTCGCCCCTTTTTTGCGATTTCCCCCCTTTTTTCCCTTCCTGTCAAGTTCCCTTCTCTCTCACAATCTTGGTGAATGTCGAAGCTTGACCCAAGCCTTTGATGAAATGGTGATGGAGTATTGGTGATGGAAAAGGCTGCAGATCAACTACGCCAAAAGAGGACTCCCTGCTGCTGAAGATTGGCAGAAACGACCGGTGCAAGGATAGCTACAACCAGACAAGAGAGAAAGTGTGGTGTGTATGTGTACGGAGTAGAAACTTGGCTCTGTTGCCAAGACTTTTGAAGTGCAACGGGTAGATGATATATTTGAACACAAAGAACCAGAACAAAATAAGAGTCGGAAGGAAACTTGGAATTAAACAATACGGGAGGGGAGGCCTGCTGCTCCAGCCCCCCCAGTCACTGATACACTGATACAAGAAATGACACCCCCCGGCTTGGATCGTCCGGTCCCTCTCTCTCTCTGTCTGCCGTCTTTCCTGTTCTGTTCAGTCTGTTGCCATTTGCTCGGACATGGGGGCGTGGGTGTCGGTCGGCGGCCTGTTGGCCTGCTGCTGCATCGTTAACTCTGTTCTCCACGGCGCATGGCTGGTGTGCCAGGGGGAGGGGGAAGAGAGAGAGCGAGGTTTGGGAGGTTGGAAAGGGTGGAAACCGGGCCAGTTGGCTGACGGAGCTGCTGTCGCTTCCAACAGGTGCCCCACACGCGGGTCCACGGGTACCTTAAGGTAGTGGGCACTTGACGGGTGTTGCTGTTCTCGGGGAGCGCAGCAGCTACCTACCTTACCTCAGTGGGGGATGAGTGCGGCTCGTGCAATTCTGCGGCAGCGCTGAAGCACCAGAGCCGTTTCATCCACCTCGGGTCCCGAACGGCGAACCACTTACGACACGTACGGATTTGTACCTCACCCAATGGTCTGTTGACGATTGGGCGACGTCGAGGCGTAGAGGTCCCCTTCTGACGAAACCTGCTGTACGAAGTACGGGATATCTCTACTGCGAAGCCCCAGGAAAGGACAACAAACGAACCATAACACACATTGCGAACACAAGGCGAGACACTTTCAAAGCATCCTGCCGAATCCTCAGCCTCTGAGTCGAATCCGCTATCGATACCACCTCATATTTAGCCAATTCAGGACAGACCTGAGGGCAATCAATGGCGTGGTATAAGCTCTTCACATAGGCTTCGCATAGGGACTGTGTATGCTTCAAACCAACTCACTCAGTCATTCACTGCACTCACCACCGTCCGAGACCCCCCATCCTCGCTCTCGCTCAGCTCACTGTGCTGCCTTACCTCAGTATTAACTGGCCATATCAAACAAGCGACAGCGCTGCTGATGCCTTGAGAGTCAAGCCTGCTTGCTCTCTGTACTGCTGTGACTGTTTCTCCCGTATCCCACCGGCCGAACACGACGAGGTTGAGTTCGTCGGAACCCGTTTCGCGCGTACACGCCCGCGGAGAGCACACGGCTTCGTTCTCGGTCATAAGCATCACGCAATTACTTTCATTTACGAGTCCCATCTCTTCATTCTCGCTCCGGTGCCCTCCATGTTCGTAAACCACCAAAAAAAAAAACTCAAGAGATCATTCTACTGTACTCTCGCAGTCAACACGTAGTGCCACTCGTAAGAACCCAAGGCGAGCAAGGAAATGAATGGCGTACGTAAGGCAGTCGAAAACTTACCATGTAAGCGACCACAAAGTAATATCTGACCGTTACTATCCAAACCTCGATAGAAACTCTACTGCGTCTACTACAACAACAACAAACCCCCCCTTCCTCCAACAGAAACATCGGATCAATCGGCATGCGTCAGCCACAACTCTCGTCAGCCGATCATGGTTCAGTAAGGCGAGAACGAACTAGGTGGGTGTGTGAGCTTGATCAGTGATGGGTTGGGGGGGGGGGTGGGGGGGGGGCGGGCGGATGCCGGCTCACTTACATACATCGTCATATCACACATAGTAAGAGAAGTAAGACGGCAAGGTACACATTGACCTACACACTCACACCTACACAAACCCGACACGGGCCCTCAGTAAGGCTTAGCAGCACGGAAAAGGGAACAAGCGTAAAGATGAAGCTTGATTTGTGAGGCACACAACACCCAATGCAAAATATGAATCCCACTCGGGGGTTATATCCTTGTAGGAACATCATCCCACGTCTCGACACTACACCACCATACTATGATAGCTAGCGAAGCCCATCGTGAAGGAGGAGAACGTAACAAGCTCGTCCGGGAACTACTCGCCGGAAAGAAAAGCACAGGCACTCTCTTATTTCCCTGTCCCTTATTATTAGGTATCTTTCGGGGTTCCCACTCAACGTTCAGACCGAATTTTCCCATATCGGGAAATATAGGGCTGGCTATATGACCAAACCAGTCTCGCAGCCTGCGCAACCATCCATCGCTCTTCTCCCCGAACGAGAGAGAGAGAGAGAGAGCTTGGATATAATTTTCACTCGGCCGGCGGTTCGGATCTCCAGCCGGGAGGGGGCTTCACTGACCACCTCTCTCCATCCCAAAAAGAGAGACTCCATCAACAATCCTCAAATGGGGATGCAGAGTAAGGTTGGTTGGTTAATCACCAAGAATGGGAAGAACAGAGCAGGCGAGCAGTGCCTCCTGTATAACGCGTGCCACCAGCGCATCTCGCCGTGTTCTCTTTGCCTCGCAGGTTTTGTCGATCCGAGAATAGCAATGTTGGTGGAAAAGCCAAAGGCTCTCGAGCCTAGTCTGTAGACGTCACGTAGTCTGAGACCCCGTGTGTCCGTCGTCGTCATGTACCACGGATACGGCCGCCTCATCTCGTCCCGTCTCGTCGACGACGGGCAGTAGTGAAAAAGCGAGAAAGCCGTGTGTCTGCTTCACATCACCCGTCCCTCCACCACCCGGTATCCTCATCGTAGCCGATAATCTCAAAATCGATATTCATACTCCGGAGCATCGTCCCCATCGTGAACTCCTGTCCCAAAAGTCAGCAAAACCCTCATCCTCCCCGTCCCTGCTCTCCCAATATGCGAGAAACTCACCTCTTCCTCTTCTTCCTCATCCTCACCCTCACCATCATCTCCTTCTCCTCCTTCACCACGATACCCTTCGTCACTCCCCTCCCACTCCTCACAACCACCCCTCCTGGCCCTCCCAGCACTTTCCTCCCCCTCCAACATCGCCATAAACCTCACCTCGTCCTCCCTCCTCGCCCTCCTCCAAGCCTTTAACCCTCCCATGCCCTTAACCCTCTCCTTGGACCCCTCAAACACCTCCTCCGCCGCAATCCGGCTCGCGGCCCTCCACTTGCCAATCAACTCGACAAGCTCCTCGTCCGTCTCCCCTTCTCCCACGGGGCCGCGAATCCGCTCAGCCTGCCGTAGAATCTCCTCCCTCCCCTCCGCCTCTCTCTCGCTCTTGCTCCCTCCACCAACAAACCCAAGCCCGGGACCCGTCTTTCTGGCACCAGCACCGCCGTAAGGTCCCGCCGTCGTCGTCCGCAACGGCGAAGGCGAAGCACCCGTCAGCTGCATCCCACGCGCGCGCGGAACGCTAAAGGGCCGGCGTGTAGGCGTAGCCGTGGCCGTAGATGTAGACGTGAACGTGCCGCTCACCCCCCGTTTCCCAGGCGTCGCAAACTTCTCCGTAGCGTGCCGTGGTGTCGTCGTTGCGGCCCCCCTCGCAGATGATGGCGACGACGCTGCCGCGGGGTCTGTGGTCGCCGCTGCCGCCGAATCACAATCATCGTTCCCTCCAGCCGCAGGATTCTCCACCGCCGCAGCGTCCGCGGTGCTGACCTCCCGGGTCCGCTCCGGGCCTGGGCCTCGGCCTGGGTCTTGGTCTCGGCCTCGGTCCCGCTGCACCAAGGGCGACCTAAACGGTTTCCGAAGCGTCTCGTTTGCCGCGTCGACACGTCGGCGTTTCGCCGCCGGGGTGAGCATGTGTACTTTTTCTTTTGATTCGTACGCTGGTTTTTGTCTCTTCCTTCTTTTGGAAGTGACAATCGATGAGTTTTCAAACTGCGCGTGTCACCTGTGCTCTGCAAGAATGCGTGTAAGAAGGCGGGCCGCCTTTGACAGGGCCGCTGTCGCTTTTTGGTAAGTCAAGTCAAGTCAAGGTGAAGTAAGGTGTTACTGGAGGCTTTTTGCGGTTGACTGCGACTGCCTGTGCGGACCTGGAAGAAAACGCACCCACGCGCCACTTTTTTCGACTTTCAGGACTCGGGGTAAATCTAATGTCATGTTCGCCATAGAAAGAATATGTCAACATGACATGTAAAAAGGCGACATCCATCTCGCGCTTCCACGGGCCGCGCCGCGAGACGGTCTCAAAGTCACCAGTGCCAAGATCTTGGCTAATCTTTACACACACATCACGGTCTGGATGAATATGCAAAATTGTAGATCAACAGTTCATTCCAACTATTCAGCCATTGCCCTTCAGTAATCTACAGAAATCACACCAAACGCCCCGAGATCATCCATCTTCTGCTGCAGGCCAGTTTTCCATGCTTCCAGTCATCTCACATGTCCGTGTGCACATCATTCCCTCCAAAGCCGTCTCGAACATGAAGAGTAGTAATACTTTCCAGTCCGGATGAAGAACGAAAAATAAACAGAAAAAAATCAGAAACCCTGTCCGTGGCCAATGTTGCGCCTAGCAATGCAGCATAATCCTCCGCGTACACAGAGATATAGAAGAGAAGGTAAACTAAACATCTTACGTGACGCTAATGCCGTAAAGTGAAAAGAAAGAGGTATCATAGAACCAAATGCACTCCATACATGGTCTGAAGGAGGCCAGAATGCAGATGAATGGTACAGATAAGGCGTCGAAAAAGGCGTCGAATGAAGAAGAGAAACTTGAAATCAAGAATCTACCCGAATCCTCTTGGGTTCGTTTCCGGCCTCAGGACCGTCATGCGGACCATTGGCGCTGATCTCGGGACTCTTGCGCTTCGTAGCCGGATTGTCATCTCGCAAGAAGCTAGGACCGGAACCAACGACTGGAGTCGCAAAGTTCAATGGACTGGGTAGTGTGTTGCTATCGCTGCCGCCACGAGCATACCATTCCGGATAAAAGCTGCTCGGACTGGGCAGAAATTCGTTATTTAAGAATCGGGACGGAAGGGCGGAAACCGGAGTGTCAATGTTCATATTGCTGTTTTGTTGCGGGGGTGGGCGAGCAAACGGGTTTGGTGGGCCCGTGGCGCCAGCTGAGAGAAGCGTTTGGGCTGACGGGGATGGCGGCGGCAGAACCATGCCGGAAGAGTGCGAGTCGGATGCATGGCGCCGAGTCGTCTGGGATGTGGTATCTGTCGAGTTGCGAGGAGAGTTTGACTCGGCAGTTGCGCTACCGCCATCCGAAGGTTCGTCGGGAATCTCCACCCTCAAACGGGGACGCGCACCACCACCAAGCTTCATGCTATTGGTGCGAGATGGCGGAGTAAACGTTGTCTCTGGAATGGACGATACGGAGATGTTGCGGCTTTTGTTTAGAGATTGAGTGCTGGCGCGCGGAGGCATGGGCGGAGAAGTAGTGGAACCATTGGTCCGGGATACTGCGCCAACATCAACTGACTGAGAGCGGTTACCTTCAACCTTGATGTTGCTCTGGTCAGGGAATGGGGGCCGATTAGGCTCTGCCTTTATGCTCTGCTCAGAGGCGAATGAAGCCAAGTGCTGAGACAGGATGGAGCGGTTCTCGTCAATGGGAGTGAAGATGCTGTGCTGCTTACGCTGCGGAAGCTTCTTGATCGCGCTATCCGTGTTGAGCAGGGGCGGCTGGGGTCTTTGGGGCAGCTCAGATCGTGGCTCTGACGGCGCTGGCATCTCCTCAGACTGCGGCGGCGAAGGCTGATGTTGTTGCGGCTGTTGCTGTTGCTGTTGCTGTTGAGACTGAGGTGGCTGCGGCTGTTGCTGTTGCTGGGGTTGAGGCGACGGGTGCGGTTGCTGCTGCTGCTGCTGCTGCTGCTGCTGCTGAGGCTCAAGTTGCTGTGGCTGTGGCGGCGGGGGTGAGATCTGAGGTGGTTGCGGCGGCAATTGCTGAGTAGGAGGCTGTGGCGGAGACGGCGAGATCCGAGAAACTTGAGGCCCAGGCCCTTGCGGACCCTGCTGTTGCGGATAGTTTGGCGGCATGGAACGGCGCTGGTCCTCCATATGCTGTTGCATGTGTGGGGGATGATGGTTGGGCGCGTATGAGGAGTATTGAGGGCCATGTTGCTGGTACTGCTGGGGGAGTCCGTGAGGCATGTTTGGTGGCATATTGGGCTGGTTCTGGGGGTTGTAGATGGCGGGGTTGGGCATGTAGGCAAATCCGTTGACGGGAGGCTGCTGAGATCCGGGAGGGCCGACGGGTTGAGGGCCCATGTTTGGTCCCATCCGGCGGATGTCTTGTCGAGAACCAGGCCGTGATCCCATGCCCGGCTGCGGGGTGTGGCCGCGTTGGACGGGAAGGCCATGATGTTGCGGGAAAGGCACGCCATTAGGAATCGGAGGTGAAGCTGAGGGAGTGTGGTGTCGCATATGAGGGAATGGCGCTTGTCCTTGGAACTGAGGCGGAATCATGTGAGACTCCTGCGGCGGGGTACCTTCAGGATCCTCATCTTCGTCCTCGTCGTTGCCTCCGTTGAAGTCTGAAGGGCCCTTGTGTTCATTCGGGCCGCCATGCTATCTCAGGGTCAGCGTTTCGCATTCGCGACTCAGAAAGACTGGAGGAACTCACGTATGTGTATCTAGTGATCATCTCCCGCATATCCGTGGAAGAATACTCATACAACTTCTTGTTGCTGCCGAATATAAAGACAGCGACGTCGACGGAGCACAGCACGGAAAGCTCATGCGCCTTCTTGAACAAACCGCCTTTTCTCTTGAGAAAGGTACTATACGCGACGCGACTGTCAGCCAAAGGTTTCTGGATATGGTGAGGGATAGCCAGGGCGCGAGCTTACACAGAGCGGTTTCTGTCATCCTTGATGGCCTTGATCTCAATCTTTCTGCGTCCCATCTTGAATTAGATGCTCTGGGAGGGGCTGCTGACGGGTATGAGGCAGCGAAACGCGTTGTACGGGGGCGAAGACGATGTCGAGGCGAGCGACTTCAAGGCCGATCAGCGATATCGCGGCGGCGGCGTCGTCGGCGAGGTCTCAGCCGTTGCAGTCGCGATGTAGGGTCGACTGGTCGTTGGTGAGGTTGAGGATGAGGATGAGCGTCTCGAGGAAGCGAGAGACTGGTTGGAGCTCGGAGGAGGAGGAGGAGGAGGGACGCGAGCTGGATATATCTGATCGCAGCGACTAGCTTGGCTGGTCGGGAAAGTGAGGTGGAAACAAGAGCTAGGCCGGGGAGGGCTGATCGCTTTTATCTAAACGGGCTTGGTCGTGGGCAGTGGTTCCGAACTGGCGATGCGTCAGTCAGTGGTTGCATGGGACAAGGCAGCGCATCCCGGGAGCAACGGTATATGACAGGCGGTGGGAGCAAAAGGCTGTCAGAGCAGGGGAGAGAGTTGACAAGACGACGCATCAAGAACGTACATTGATCCCATTACAAGTGCAGATGCGACAGGTTCTGGGATGGACAGGCGATGTGAGGTGCAGGTCGATGGGGCTGAATCTGGCGTGGATGATTCTAATAATAGACGCGATCGTGTTCACTTTTTGGGTGCGGGAAGGCAGGACAGTTGAAGGAGGGAAGGGGGAAAAAAAGAATGGGAATGGATGGTGGAGGGGGAAGCAACAGTATTAGGTGCAGCCAGCCAGCCCGGTACAGTACCTCAGGTGTAAGGTAAGGTGGTAATGGTAGCAGCAGGAAGAGTAGGTAATGGGGGCAAGGCAAGGCAAGGTAAGGTCAGGCAAGACAAGCCCACATCAGCGACCTAAGAGTGTGTGTAGCAGACGGAGTAGGTACCGAAGATGAGTGAGTGAGTGAGCACTTCCACCCAGTGAGGTTGCGGCAAAGAGATGGAATAGGTGGGAATCGGGGAGCGGGAACAGCAGAGAGCAGTGCGGCGGGCAGCGCAAGCATCAATCAGCAAGTGCAGCAGTTTCCGTACCTAGTAGCAAGCCAGCAGTTTGGAGACGACGGGAAGGGAAGGAAAAGAGCGACGACCAGGGGGGTAGGCGGCAGGGAATGGGGGTCGACGAATGAACGAATCCTAGGCCGAGGACGGGACTGGGGGTGGTTTTCGGGGAGCGAATGAACTGGGTGACGGAAGAAATAAAAAAGGGACTGGAACGGGAGAGAAAAAAAAAAAAGAGTGGAAAAGGAGAAAAACGGGGCGGGGGGTCGGTGTACCTACCCCAATGAACCCCTGCTCTTCTCACTTCAGGTTGGTCTCTGATCATTCGCTATTTGACTAGGTAGGTATTCACTGTTCAGTGGCCAGTCTCACTATGTAGGTACTTGTGAGAAATCTGAGTGAGGAAAGGTCGCTGATTACTCTCGTCTGCCGAGTCCAGAAGCAGAAGGCCTCATCGTCTTCCATGTCTACTCCGTACGGAGTACCTAGGTAGGTATTTCATTGTGTTATTGTGTAAAGTATCCAATGTCTCCAGGCCCTGCCAATTCGCAGTTGGATGTGAGTGGACCAGTCCAGTCGGCACCCATCATCTCACTTGGGCTCACTCTCTCCTGACATTATGCCTACTGCGTAGATGCTACCTAGATGCTAGATGCTAATGCTAGGCCGGTCCTGCTCTCACCTTACTTGCGCCGTAGCACTTCACCTTGGGCCTCACTACCACAGACAAGGCAAGGTCGCGAGGACTCTTGGTGCGTGCGCAGTTATGACGGGGGGTCCTGGTGGCCGTTGCGGACGCTCGTGAAACAACAATGTGAAGAGGCAGGGAATGAGGTCAAGAGCTGAGACTGGTCGCGAACACTGTGTGGCGCCTGCTTCTTTTGGGTTGTTAGGACAGTGTTGGATCGCAATCTCCACCACCACCCTGCGCACTGTCTCAGGGTCTGGTGGATCCCCACTTGTACCCACCCCACCCAGCTAAGGTACCGGCCCCGACTTCGACGGCGCTGCCGCTAGTGAGACACTGCAGACAGGATACATGTGGCAGGTGTCGTCGAGACATTTGACGTCTAGCGGACATGAGGTGCGTGCGGTTTGCGGCTTTCCTGCGTACAACTTGCGGAAACTGCGAGGATGATTCCGGCGACACTGCTCCTTCTTGACCTGACTGTGTACCTTACCTAACCTTGCCTTGCCTTGCAATTCACCTCTTTTCTCTCTCATTGCGTCAAGGAAACCAATACCACGAGCAGACCACAGACTACCGTCCGAATACACTAGACCCAGAAAGTCTGAAGATCGAGACCCTCAAGACCATCTCTCTACACTAGCCGAGAGCATTGACGTCCGCAAGCCTCGACCTGGTCAACTTCAAGTGGACTCGACATGCGCCGGAACTCAGAACCGGACTCCTCCTCCCTGGACCTTGCTAAAATCCCACAGGTTACAAGTTACAACCCGTCCACCCATACACAGTACATACACCATATCTACATACCTTACTGTACAATCATCGCTCACCAAGCATCGCCGTCCATCCCTCGCTCGCCCAGACGGTACCACCCACACTTGCGCACAAGTCCCCGTCCGCCCGATCACCTAACTGCTTACTCTGCACATCCTAAGCAGAAGCATAACGCCGTAAGGCCATGAGGTAGGGATGTAGGCCGTCATCAGCTACACCAAAACCCAAGCAAACAACGTGCCCGGGCCGCATATTGAGCCTCTCCTTCCCACCACAACATCCGACCGCGCCGCCATCGCCGCCGGCGCAGGAACGCAGGAACCATCACTTGCATTCAGGGCCAGGAACAACCGGTGGGACGCGGCGGACAGTGGACACGCACAGAACAGAAGGAAACTCTCAGTCTGCTACTGCTACTGCTACACAGGCACTGGCTCTGTGAATCGTGATGCGTAGCACAGACCGCGGCCCATCTTCAATGGTCCATACTAAGACTCCCAGGGACCACAAGCACGGGAATCTGTCATCCATTCTCAAGTCTCCATTGTGTCGAAACCGACTCAGCCCTCCCGATATCATGTCCGGCATTCAGCACCCTACTTCAGGTTGGACAATTGAGTTCGAGGTCCAGCCTTGGCGTCAACGGCTCCTGCATTTCTACGTTCCTGTTATCTATCTGCCCCTTTTCTTGTGTACATCTCACCCTTTGTCAGAGTCTGAGTCCCCCTCTCCCTCCCCTGGCCCACGACAAAGCGAGGCCATCGCCAAACCAAACGGACACTTTTCAAGGTCCCAATCACCACCCCAATCATGCAAGGTACCTAGCCGTCTAACCCCTTCCCTGGGGTCACGGGTGGACCATGACCATGCTCCCGTATCTCAAGCGTGAACAAGAGGTGGACTGGGAGGGGGAACTACTACATCAGAACCATCCCCTCGGCGGACTATTCCACCGACAGGACAAGGCTTCGAAGAAACCCTACGTATCATCCCAGCAATGCGGCATTCCCGCCGAAGGTGCCTGTCTGCACGTACAGCTGCCAAACCGGTCACTGTCAGGGCCATTTTGACAACGTCCGTCCGCTCCCACGGCTCTCAGCTGTAGATCTCGCTTCACATGCATCTAGGCCCCCCCTCCCTCGCCTACATACATCCCGCGCCTGTTTGATGAACCCAGTCGCCCATCATCTCGAATTAGATCAGGTCCCCACCCTCAACGATACCCCGCGTCCATGATGACAATCTTCCCACCGGTTGCCCTGGCGTGCCTGGGTCACGTCAGGGCCCTTTTTTTCTTCCCAGAACGCCCAGAGATGGTTGGACGTTCGAGAAACACCAATCCCTCCACCTCTGCTGGGCATCTCCAGCTTGAACCATTGTCTTTGGTTGACAAGCTTCGCAGCGACGGGGGCCTTTGCTTTGGAATCACTGATAACGATCCAGAATAGCCCTTTGCCAAGCTCTGTTTCTCCAGGAAACAACATTATCATTGGAATCTATGGTACGCAGTCTCCTCGTCCAGACAAGTCTGCTACCGATATTGTATGACTGCGAACGAAGAAGACGACCCAAGAAAGAGACCAAGTAACCACTCGGAAACTCCCCCCTTCCTTCTCGATCTCCTCATACGCGCCTACAATGCGGCCCTTTTGCCAGAGATTATGATCAAGATATCCCGAATTAGCAACTTCATCTTGCGTACGCCGTACGGCGACATCAACAGGTCCGGTAAACCCATGTCAAATATCCCGTCTCGTCACAAGAGGGTTCGTCCTTCTACCGAGCAGCAGTCGTCTAATTCGTCCGGGGAAAGATTCAAACTAAAGCAAGGTCGAGCCGATAACCGCTGTCGTCGCAAGAATTCACAATTATGTCTCCGTCCCATCATCAACCGGCAACACGCCATCCCACCTTTTTTCATTTCTAAATCGAAATTTAACCATATCATTAAGTTAAGCGCCGGCCCATTCCCAACGAGCATGGCGCTAGTCCAACATTTCGGAGCCGGGTTTGGGGATGGGGGTTGGGCAGCACGAACGAAAATGCTTGACTTCACATCTTTCTTCTCCGGCACGGCGTACCCACCCCGGTCAGGTTATCAAATAACTTGCCGTGTCTGAAGCGCAAAAGAGCCTCTTGTATCCCCATCCATCCACACACGCATCACTTTCCCAGGTTTCCCTCTTTCTGGGTTGTGACGGTGTGAGCTCGACATGCATGTTTCTTCGAGGCTAGCAAAGAGACCGAAGGTGTTCCTGGGTGCAAATCCCAAGCCGATTGGCCAAACGCACCCTACGATCCAAGAAGCCCTATGCAGGTTGGTGGTGCAGACGTGCTTCTCCCCCTCCCCCGTGCCCCCCCTGCGAGGTCGTCCAACCCATGCCTTGCGGTTCTAAAAATAGGTTTATTTTTAGCACAACACACTTGGCGTGCATATGCTCACCTCTTGCTCCGCAGCCACGCGACCTGGCGACCGTTTTTCTTCCCCTCCAAAGAGCCAAACCCAAAGGCCTTTTGAACCACACACGCACGCACCACTGCATCTCGGGAGCCAATTATTCCCCCTTGCCTTTTGTCGATTGATTACACGTCTTTTCCGACTTACACAGTACGTCTACGTAGTCCGTAGGCTGTAGGCTGTTGGTGGGTAAAACTCATTTGCTCCACCCCTGATATGTCTAGTCAATGTTTCCTGGCGCCGCAAAACCAGGCTGGGGGGTTTGGAGAAACCATGCTCTCACACACCTGGCTTGGCAGAAGACTTCATGTTCTCTCTGAGGAGCAGGCCCTTGTATAACCCCAACCACCAAACCCATCATCATCATCATCAGCAGCAGCAGCAGCAGCAGCAACAATCACCAACCACATGTTCATTGCAACCCGCGCATCCCACCGCGTCCCTTTTTTTTCTTCTCATCTGACTTTGACTTCCCTTCCCCCTTCCCTTTCTCCCTAATCAACCACAAACTGGTTCTGAATTCCCTAACCCTTGCACGGATGGATTTCCACACCTGGGCTACGTCAAAAGAGGTCCCCAGCCAAAGCAACCTCGATCTGACAAGCGGGACAACAAACCCCACCTCCAAATGGTCCAAATGGAAACAATCCCTAGGCTAACCCATCTTCCCTTTCCAAACAAAAAAGTTCTTGATCGTTTCGGCGCGTCTAGAATGCCCTTGTTGGCACCCATCACCCATTGTCCCCTCATCCAATCGCCTCCCCTTCTGATATCACCCTTTCCCTCTCTCGAGGTTCGTCCTTGTTTTCTTCCCTAAATTAGCCCGGCCATCGTCCGTCGTGATTTACCCGATTCGCCAATCTGGAAACGAAGATGATGGCGCCGCGAGAGTGCACATTGATACATACACAAATCCCGGATTCTTTCTCTCCCCCCCCCTTCCCACTTCCCCCCTCCTTCCTCGGACCTCTCCCCCACCCATGTTTGTATCTAGGTATCGGCACTACCCTTACCTGTCTCTGATCTTCCCGTCTCTCCAATCCATGTTCATCTTCTGCCGCATCTGATTCTCCCGGCAACCTACCTACACTACCTCTTCTCACCTGCCTCCATGTAATCATCGGCCCATGCTAGCCTCTTCCAAGAGCCTCCCCGTACTGTCCCTCCCCATTCACCCAACCGCCCACACTAGCTACCCCGACTATGGCATGCAATATCCAACCGGGGGGGTTCTCCAACCTCGAAAAACCAAGGTAAGCTGGACCTACGCGTACATAACTGCAGAGTAACGACACACACATCACCATAGCGGAGAAGAAGCAGTAGTAGTTAGTTAGTCACTTTGTTGAAATGAATTTCCCACGCGTGTGATGAGATGGCTACTACCCACGCTTTTACGCGGCTGTAGCTAAACTTAACAACACCAGACGCCGTGCCGATGCATCATTACATGCTTTGCTTAACCGCTTTGCCAAACCCCCCTTCCTTCCCACCATTCGGCATCATTTCTTTTCTCCCCTTGCTCGTCGTGACGTGAGAGCAGTCCATTAAATCTGCCCCGTCCAGTTTTGACAATGTTGATCAAGCCTTTCCAAATTCCCAAAGCTCCAAGGGCTCACCCCTCAGATTGTTTTCTTTTTTGTCATCGTACACACACCCTTTTCCCCCTTGATTGTAGAATTGCATGGTGAGTTCCAATTTTGGACTGTTCGGTCCGACCTCTTGTATGAGATTTCTCTGGTCCAAACGCTCGCAACTACCCCAGCCTTTCTTCAACATGAACTTTCCCAGTCTGTTGATTGTGCCTCAACCCCTTGACCCCTTGCGTGAAATCGCTTGGCATAGCCCTATTGTTAGCAACTGGGTGGTTGCGGGTGGGGTTCTTCCCCCATTCTGGAACGTTCGTCGGTAGTTAAGCGACCAGCTGCAGCCTTTGCTGTTGATTAATTGGTAAGCGCCGGAAACAGCTACCGGTCGTCCGGTTGTTCGGAGTCTGTCGTCTCAACCGTATTTTAGTGTCCTGCGCTGCAACGTCTGGTCCGTTGGAGCCTCTGACAGCTGCCAGTTTCCGCCGTCCGAACTCGACGTCGTCTCGAGTCGTTCATTGCCCGGGAGAACCGGCTCCAGCAGCTGGGGCATTGTAGGTACCGAAACCGCCATGTTCTGCGATGCCGTTGTCGGTCTTCATCGTGCCGTTAAGCATAGGACAAAGCCTTTGCGAGGATTAGTATGCGTGCATATGGAACAGAAGTCATGGGGGAAGTGGAGAGGAAGAGAAAGCATGTTGGGTAGGTAATGAGAGAAGACTGTGGAAAGCAAGCAACAAGGAGTGATGATGGCCAAGGGGGCATATGCTTATATGACCCTAGTGCTCATGCTGCTGTTGTGCCAGTAGGGCTTGGAAGTGTACTTGTTGTACTTGAACTTCTTTGCCTTTGGCTTTAGGGGCTGTTTTGGCTGTCCCTTGGACGATGCCCGCCTATTGGCCTTTTCCTTGGAGCGGTCGCGCTTCTGGTGCTTTTGATTCCCGTCGCCTTTTTGCTTTGGCGGGGCTGCTTTTCGCTGGCGTGCCCTCAACAGGAGCTCCCGCTTGAGAACCCAGCGATTGTTTCCCCCACGTCTGAACATGCTCCGGAGATCTGAAGTGGGACGGGGAGGTAGAGAAAAAGCAAAGGGAGCAATACTTCTTGTTTGTCTTGATGTGTCCGACTTGTCCACAATTGGCACACTTTCGGGTTGTACCGGTGGCAGCGCGGTCTGCTTCGGGGGACCCTGCGTCGAGTCCACTCTTGGAACGGTGGAGTCCTTTTTGTTGCTCTCGTCCGATGCGTCGCTGCTTGTTTCGGTTGAGCCGTTCAAGCTCCTTATCAATCCTGCTAGGTGGTCAATCAAGTGTTCAGCATCTACGGAAGGATAATGCCTACTCAACCAGACGACGGCGGTCGTCATCAGCGACACCAGTCGGTCGTCCTTCGTAGATACTAAACACGAGATTATGTGAGCGGGGAGCGCATGAAGGTTGAATAATAGACCTGAAAGGGGATGGGGAGGGGGCCAGCGCGGTGGGAGTTCGTACTTGAAATCCTCCAACTCCAACTCCTTCTTTCTCTTGATATAACGGTCTATAATCACAGGGTCTTCGAGAATGATGACCTTTTGCTCGACAGCACCTTGATCATTGAGAACTTCTCGGGTAATCTTGAGTTTCTTTCGCTGGTTCCGGCTAGTTGATGTCGTCAGGCCGGTAATTTGACTCATCCCTTCGTCGGCATGGGCAGGAGTCTGGGCTCGTTGGGGGTTGAATCGGTCATCTTCGTCTGGCGGCAGAGGGACCACGAGATCATCGTCCTTTTGTGTGCCATCCTCCAGACTGTCTTTTTGCTTGTCCCAAATTTCACGAATGCCTTTTCTGTACATGGCCTCTTGCTCCTTGACGTTGTAAGCGTGGCCGTTGTTCGCCTTCCGTTGTGCGTCAGGGTGGGCTGCCATGGCGTCAGCTGCAGTGGTATGGGATCCACCTTTCTGGACAGTCTCGATGTAGCCGCCCTTCATGGAAGTTCTGATAAAACTGAATCCAAGGCCATGGCCAGTCGGGTCTCCTTGTCCGTGAAGCTTGAGCATAGCCTTGCCAGCGCATGCGTCGATGAAAGCCTTGCTGGTTTTCCACGGCGCCATCTTGTCTGCTAGTTTTTCTTCGTTCTTCTCGGCAGCCTTCTTACTACCCTTGGCAGTGCCTGCACCCGTGCGATCGTCGTCCTCATCCTCGGCAACCTCTTCATTGTCGTCCTCCAGGTTGACGTTGTTAGGGTCGAAACCAGCGTCTTCCAGCATCTGCATACCCAACTGCATACCATCAATCAGGCAGACGTCTTCAGGCTTGATCATCGCTCGTATTGAGTTCTCGTCCATCAGAGTCTCGCCGTTCCTAAGGCCCCAGAGTCCTTTCTCAACCTTAGCGTAGGATAGGAACTCCTTGAGCTTTTGCCGGTTTTGAGCGTCCGTAGACTCGGCAATATGTTTCGTCACCTCTGATAGGTTTACCAAATGGTGCTCGTTCCTTCTCATCATGCGGTACGAAATCATCTTGATTCTGTTCTTCGAGGCATTCGTAACCTTTCGAGAGTGAGGGCCAGGGACCTCAACACTAGGAAAAGTCTGGCCAACCACGTAAAGATGATCAATCTTGTGCAGATACCAGTTGGCTCCGTCGACGCCCGTTGAGCTGCGAACACAGAGGAAGTCTGTAGACCGCGGCTTGTGCTTGAAGATGGGCGCCCGGTACATTTGGTTGTGCAAAGTAGGCATGGTCTGTCCGACCTCGACCTCGCCAAAGATGGCGAAAGGCGATCTGTCTTCGGGCAAGAGGACGTGCGATTCACCAATCTCCATCTTCGGTGGCGTCTCTTCGTCATCAACCTTCTTTTTGCGGTAGTAGTTAATGACACGGTTTCCCATGCCAAAGTTGGAAAGAACGGGTGGCGTTCTCTCACAGTACTCAAAGAGCACAGCCGTCGAGTTGTCCGTTATGCCCAAGTCCTTAGTGGTTTTGAAGACCTCATGAGCCTTTCCCTTCATGGTCTTGCGCTTATGGAAGCCCAATTTGCTGAACCTGATCGTCTGACGCTCATGCTTACCAAACTTGAAATGAGGCCGGTGGAATCCATCTCGTCGAATGTCCAGCTTGACCTTGTAGAACGGCCATGCCAGTTTAAGCGCAGGCATACTGTGCTCGACGGCAAGATTCCCCAGAGTTGCTCTGACCTTGTGTTGATGGTTCTCCTTGAGCGCCTCATACGCATCGTCGTTGGACATGTTGAAACGGGAAGATAAATCAGGTCTCAGGTGACCGTTCGCCATGCGCGTCATCTTCTGCTCCACACGTTGACGCTTGGGGCCACGCTGCGATTCGGCTTCTTCCAGGAGAAGATATGGGTCGTTCAAATCGAGAATGACACGCTTGGAGGCGCGCTTAGTCACATCCTCAAATGAGTCGAATGATGGTGCGGTGAATCGAGGAATTTCTGGCAAGCCCTTTGGCGGTGGCGGACGCGTCTTCTTCTTTGGTGGCGGCTTTGGCTCTTCATCTTCCATGAACTCAGCCTCCCAGTCAAAGTCAAAAGCATCATCATGAGCGCGCTTGACGGAAGCCGCGGCGGCTGCCTCGGCTGCAGCCTCTTTTGCTTGTTGATCGCGGAAGTCTTGCTCAGCCTGCTCAATACGGATGGACCAGTCATCGCACACCATCTCAATGTCTTGGAGGGTAAAACCCGCCACTGCTTCCGAATCGGATTCTTGCTCGAGATTGAATTCTTCAGCTTCAGCTTCGTCTGAAGACTCTTGCGGAGCGCAAGACATGAGTCCTCTAGACTCATCGTCGATGCGTCTCTGCTTACGAGTCACAGTCGCGGGTCCGGGGATGCGGAAAAGCTTCTCTTGATCGGCGGCAAGATCCAGGGTGAGCTTGGAGAAGATGAGGGTCTTTGGCTTCTTAGTGGGCTTCTTCTCGATCCACCGGGCCTTCTTGGGAGGCAAGAGTTCGTTCCATTTCAGAATAACACCCTTCTCCCAAGTCGGCCAGGCCTGCTTGACCAAATCTTCAGCAGTCTCAGCTGGAGCAGGAATCTCGGGATCTTGGTTGGCAGCTTCGTAGCCAGGTTCAGGATCGAAGTTGATGTCGCGGTATTGTGATGGATCGGCGTCGTCGGGATCGTGAACGTGAGGGGCTGGTGACGGCGGACCAGGGACTTCGATCGGAGAAGACGGTCCATCGCCAAACAAGTCGTCGGTGTCGTTGCTTGTACCTCCGTCATCTGTCAGACCTGGAACGGACATGGAAGTGGCAACGTTGCCTTCGCCTTCCTCCTCGTCCGGAAGATCGTCGTCGCTAATATCCTCGAAGTCTTGGGCATCGTCGGCCTTCCCAGACTGGTCGAAAGGGGTATCATCAATAGTGATGCCCAGCTCTCCGCCATTCTGGAGTGTCGCGAGAGTCCGCTCGATTTGCTCTTCGTCCTGAGCATCCTGCGCCTTCTGCGCTTCCTCACTGCGAGGAGGGGATTTGGGAGTGTCGGCGCCCATGTTGTCGATGCTTTGCACAGATATCCACCCTCTGACACCTCCGATATTGTGCGCCGACCTGTGTCTGTTCTATACCATGCCTCGCGTGGTGTCTTCCGATGCGTCGGGGTCAGCTTTCGTTCGTTCGGAGCTCGTGAAGTCGATGGGGCGACGCGTCGGTCGGCTCTGGGGAAGCAGGAGGGAAAGTTCACGTAGAGCCGCAGAAATTTGGGTGACTCAGGTGCGATTTCTGCAGGGGTGCCTGAGGCGTCAGTTGTCAGCCAATTACTTTGCTTCGAAGAAGGCAGCAATGGCCAGTGGCCCGTGCCTGCCCGTTCTACCCCAGGCGGCCATCGGCAATGGGGTTTTTGTTTCTGTCATGGCATACCTAAAATCGACGGTGGAGGATGGTGATTTTGCGTTCCTGACGCGAAGTTGAACCAAGGCAGAAATATCGATAATTTGGTAAAGTGAAGTCAAAAAGGTCTGCTTGTGGGTGACAATATGGTCAAGCGTGCTTTCTGTGTTCGTAATGGCGCTTGATGATGATGGTTGTGGAGATAAGTTGTGTGAGATGGTAAGAAGCTGGTCACCGCGGTAAGTCAACTTTGTGTAATTTGGAATCGAAAAGGAAAGGAAAAAGTTTGCACGATTAGGTGCTGAGGTGCCTGGCTGAGAGAGACAGACAGCCCGAGGGTGTTGATGGACGGGAAGGTCCTAGGTAAGGTAGGTACCTACTTAGACAGGAGAGGAAGAGTGGGTCGTGTTCACTTACACGGGAGGAAAGAGCAAAAACCGTCTCTTGAGGTCTACCTTCCTCAAGGTGGTCCAGATTTCTGAGCTACATACCTTATACCTAGCCATGCTGACATGCCTACTTCATCTTCGAGTTGTAGTAATCTCCTATAACCAAGATATCTTCAAGGTGTCACAATTTGCCCTTGTCCAGTGTATCCAGATCCATGGCAAACAAAGAAGTTTTCGGCAAGTCGCTACCCTTCTGACCTTTCAAGACACCCATCTCCACATCAATCGCTTTTCTGAACCGCATTTCCCCAGACTTGCTCTTTCACCAATATGGCATAGCGTCAAGCCAAACATGCTTCACCAATGAACAGGACAAAAAGCCACGTTTAATCTACCTCCTTGTCCATTGTCGACTCCAACCTTGATTGCGAGTGGCTGGCTGAGGATCGACCCGCTCCGATCATCTCGCGTAATGCAAGACAAGATCTGCTATAATATTCGCAACTCCGCAATCTATACGCAAAGAACCGTAAGCTAGTCGACTCCATCCCGACATTCGGGTAGATATACTTCCAAATCGCTGCAGAGTGGAAATGGTATGCGAAGATACGCAGCATTGAACATTCGTTTGATAAGTTTTTGTATTTCTCACAATCTATGTATCTTCGATGAAGGAACAGATTGCATACGCGTACAGATAGCATCCTTCCAAGACGGTCTTAATGCGAGGTAGTCTTTTGACGCCCACCGTCTGCCTCCTCCCTCTGGTAGTCAGAAAAAAGCCTTTTGTGCAAACTCCATACGCCCTTTTCTTAGTAACGAGTAACGATGACCCTCCCGCCATACTCCTGCTACCCCTATCCTAACTTTGATCCCCAACGGGCCTTGAATGACGGCAATCACTTGCAACGCTTCTCCACGATGCTGACACCATTCTCCTCGTACTCCTTGCGCGAGATCCACATCTGGTGGAAGGTACCCAAGCTAGCCAGGATGCTGCCGCCGATCCAGGCGCCGAAGCGACGCTCGCTGGAGAGACCAGCCGCGTGGATTTTGATCTTGAGGCCGGGGTACATGGCCGTAAGCTCGTTGTTCAGACGATCGTTGAAGCCGTTGAGCAAGCTGGTGCTGCCAGTGACAACAATGTTGCCGAGGAGGTTGGGGCGCAGGTCGACGTCGACAGCGTTCAGGGCGGCGCGGATGAGCTCGGGGATCGTCTGCGACTTGTTCAGGCGGAACTCCTCGTTGGTGGTCGGGAACGCCGCGGTCTCGTCCCACATGCCCTCGGAGACCTTGTACCGCTGCTCGCGCCACATCTGATTCGCGCCGTTGGGGAACTCAAACACGCGGCCGGGTTGCGTCTTAGCGAACTCCTCGTTTTGCGGCACGGCGTACTTGCCGGGTCCGCGCCAGGTCTCGACCACTGACTCCTTGAATTCCGTAAGGAGACGGTCGTCCTCATAGGCGCGGAACGAGTCGGTGATGGAGAAGTCGAACTTGCGTTCCTTGAACTGAGCAGGAGCGCCTGCATCGACGGGGGTCTTACTCTCGACCATGTATGTAGGAACGGGCTCGATCTTGGGCTCTGAGGTCTCCCACAGGCTACGAATCTGGGACGACAGCCACAGGCCACCAACGGGAGACTTCTGGATGGATCGCTTCAGGACCATGCCGTCGTGGATAGCTGTAACCGAAGTGTTGGAGCCGCCGACGTCAATGACCAGGGCGCTCGCCTTGCCAGCGGCAAAAGCAGCCAGGACGGGCGTTCTGCTGAGCCAAAACGCAGGGCAGCCCCAGTTCTCCATGATAATCTCAATGGCCTTTTCTCTAGACTTTGCAGAGTTCCACGGCGCCTCGGTCATCAGGAGCGGATTCTCTTGCAGGGCCTTCTCTTGCGACTCCACGTCCTCCATGGCCACGTCGACGTCGCCGTTGGCCTCGCCTCCCTCGACTTCCTCCTTGGGGTCATCATTCAGGCCGTTCTTGGACGGGTGAGTTGGGCGTCCGGGCTGGAGGCGTGTGATGAGCATGTGCTCCCAAAGCTTATTGGCGACATCCCAGTCCTCGACAACACTGTCGCGCGTCATGTAGTTGCGGACCTCAAGGTCGGCCCGGGGGATCAGGCACTCGTCGCCGAAGACGGTCGTCGGGGTATCGGAGGAGCCAACACGGCCGTAGAAGGACGGGAAGACGGACTTGGGGACATCTTCGCCAGCGAATCCGGCGCGGGTACTGCAGTAGCCTGGGTCGAGAACCAGGGCGGAGACCTCATCTGTTCGCGATGGTCAGGTTGGGTCACGCGTAGAGTACAGCTGGCGGTGGGCACTTACCTCCTCCGTAGATGTCGGTCGGCTGGACGGCCGAGGACAGCGGTTGTTGGGACATTATTGCAATTCGACGTATGAAGCGACAATCCACCGAAGTAATTGAGATGGTTCGAGGGTGGTGGGGTGGGTTGTTGCGATGCTTCGGTCGATTGAAAGTCGCGTCTGGTCAAAATTTGGCGCGGTGGTTGGAGGAAGGTGCAAGGCTGAGAGATTCCAGCCACACCCCACTGTGTCATAGCGCGACACACTGTACGAGCTCTCGGTGAGAGCTTCTGACCGAGCAGGGATGCCTACCATTTAATTACAGAATCGTCACATCCCGCTGTACAGCACTTGAGCATGGGGTCTAAAGAGCGGAGCCTCAACAGAAAGACCATGCCATTCACTTTGGCGTTTTGAAATACGATTGGGCTACGAATCTTGCGGGTATCTCATTTTCGTTTTGATTGTAATACAATTAGTTATGAATTCAAAGCTTCATGTCACAATATATTCGTCCTCTGACTCAAAATCTCGTCCCTCTCCGTAGAGAACTTCACACGCGCCGGCCAACGGTATGTCCATAACAGCATCCGTCCCCTCGTTCCATATATTCTTCCAGTCGTATCCTCCCCCCGGCAACCTATGATCTCTCTTATTTCTAGACCTCTTCTTCGGGTCATCCCTCAGCCGCCCCTTGCTGTCAATGACCCCAATCTTAGAGGCATCATCCACCACCGTCTCAATGGAGCTCAGCGGCAGCGTCAGAATCTCCGTATTGTACGCCGCGAGGGCGATGTAAATATAGACCCCCAGCATCGTGAGGAAGGCCGGGATCGCGAGCGACCACCAGCGGTTCGGATAGTAGTAGATGCCCAGCGCGTGGAGGAAAGGCGAGGGCAGGTAGGACCAGAGCAGGTAGACAAGAAAGGTCAGCGTCGAGAAGAGGTACAGCACGAAGCCGTAGTATTCGTAGGTCGGCACCTGCGGCGACGCGCGCGGCACGGGCTCAAAGTCGTCGTCCGAGGCATCGGGGGTTGTCGGCCGCGATGGGCGGAGGAGCGACGTCAGTGACGGCGAAGGGGGTAGAGGGGTTGGCGGGCGACCGTAGAAGGGGGGCGCAAAGTAGTTTAGGTTGTGATGCAGGGGTCGCGGGGCCGGTAGCTCTTCGTCGTCGTCGCTGGACTCGGAGGCGAAGGATTGGTTGTCGAAGAGGAGCTCTTCTTCTTCGTCTGAGGATAGAGACATCTTGGGCGAGAAGCCCGATCAGCCTGGCCTCTGCTATCAGTGTTGCGACAGTGGAGTTGTGGTGTTGCAAGAGGCAGAATTGCCGTTTCCCCAGGTTGGCTCCAGTGGAAACCTAGAATTGGCCCTGTCCGTCCTGCCCCTGTCTACCTACCTTAGGGAGGTACCTGGCATGCACGGAGTAGTGGGGCCGCTTCGTCCTCAAGGTCGGCGCCGATTAGGTAACTTTCTGAACTTCTTGTCTTCCCGTTCACCAGACCCTTGGTGTCATCTCCTGTAAATCCATCAGGTCACGAAACTCGTGTTAGTCTAAAAGGAAGTCCTATTCTATAAGCAAACAGTTGGAGCAATCTTTGCCAACATATTTTGCAGGTTCTCGTAGGAATCGATATGCCCTTAGAAATCAAGAATGTGACCTTAGCAATGAGCAGCCCAGATCACTTACATAGTGTTGAACTTCAATGCGCCTTGATTCAATAATCTAGCCTCTTTGAATCAAGAATTGACCGATCAACTATTTCCCTTGTCTTTGCCTCTTTGATTTATACCGATTCTGACCAGCCTCTGTCTCGTTCCCCTCGCTCTAGACACATCAAGGAGCAAACTATTCCGCCCGTGCTACGGATACACCCATCCGCATCATCTTCTCCCAAACGCCTGTCGGAACCAACCTATTCGCAAAGTCAGAAGCAAAATTCCGGCAAACACCAACGTTGGACTGGACATAAAACCAACAAACTCACCTCTCAGATTCTCGTCTCTCCTATTCTCCCCTCTCCTCGTCGCCGCCGGCTCAATCCAAACCCGATTCCTCAACCCGTTCCGTACCCTCACGGCCTGCGCCCACGTCAACCCAAACCGGACGCTATTGTGCATACTGCACGCCACGATCCCGCACGTCCGGCACCGAAAGTACACGGCGTACGCCCTAGACCGGCAAAACGTGCACGCCGGCGGCTGGACGCGGTTGTTCATGTCCTCCACCTCCCACGACGTCGGCAGGTGATGGCTGCACAGGGGGTCCTCGGCGTGGATCGTGAATACGGGCCAGGCCCGCGGTGCTCCCGCCCTCTCGCCCGGACGCGCGAGGGGAGGTGGTCGGCGTCTGTTGGCGCGGGGTTCGGGGCGCCACTCTCGCGTTTCTGGCTGGATTATGGGGGTTAGTCCTTGTCAGTGGAGGGCTCAACACTATGGGAAGCAATGTGTCGATTTCAACGTACCTCGGTGTTTCTACCATCTGGGTAATACATGATGATGCTGAACCGTCCCCGGCCCTGTCGAATACGAGCTTCCCGGTCCATGTCGTATGCGTTGCGATGATCTATGAACGGTATTTCTCCCACGGGTTGGAAAGCTTGCACTTGCGGCTGGGGAATTCCTATAAACGACAAGTTAGTCCCCCCAAATCTTATTGATAGCCACAGGCGTTAAAGCGGCAATCGGAAAGAAATCGATACGGCCGGCCTCGATCGAGATCTGTACTGGCGCAGGAGGATATGGCACAACCACAGGCTGAATCTCTTAGTGGAAATTGTGCCCCCTTTTATGGTAATGGTGCGTTTCTATATTATGACTGGGCGTGAAAGAGGAGTCACTTACCTGCAGGAAAAGCTTCCCACAAACCATCGGGATTTGCTTGTGGAAAGGGCTGAGCTTGCGGTTGAGCTTGCGGTTGAACTTCCGGTTGAACCTGAGGCGGTTGAGGCAGCGGCGGAGGAGGAGGCGGGAAAGGAGGATGCTGAAGTACCGGCGTGGGAACAACAAGTCGACCATCTTCCCCAAGCTGGCCCTGCCGATACGTCGTCCTCCGATCCCTCATATTAACACGACCCGCTCTGCAGTTTTGCACACAGCCTCTCCTCCACATCCCGCCGCACGAGAAGCAGAACTCTTCGCCGCATACGCACCTACGAATCCTCCTGGTCAGCCAATTTCTTGTTCCAGTCTGCTGTTCAGGATATGAATAAGGGGAAAGGGGGGGCTCAAAAGCTCACGTCATGTGCGTACACCCGCCCGCACGCTCGATAATCCTCCGACAACTGGGACAAGGCGAAAGATGAAGCTCGTCCATGACATCCATCAACGCCGCATCCTCGGCCTCGGTACCACACAGCTGTCCCGGGTGGAGCGGTCTCCGACACTGGCGACACGTCCCCTGCCCACATGCAAGACAAGTAGAACCAACACCAGCCGGTATGAACGCAGCACACTCCGGCCTGGCACAATACACCCTCTCCTCGCCCGGCGTCTCCTCCTCAACCCGGACCTGTCTATACAGCCTCACCAGCCGCGGCAGTCCCGCGCCGGCCTGCTCGACGTTTTCCGGTGCCAGAGGCTGACAGCACCGCGGCGGCCAGCCTCCCGGACGCAAGCCCGCGCGGAGACAGCGCCGGAGACAGCGGGAGCACATGCGGCAGCCGCAGGGGAGGCGGCAGAGGGGTCGTCGTGCTGTGAAGCAGACGACGCATTCGCTTCTGTCGTTGTTGTCGTTGTTGTTGTCGTCTTCGGCATCTGAGGTTTCTGCACTGTTGTTTCGAGTATCAACAAGGAGGCGGTTGCGTTCTTCCCAGCCGATGTAACCTCCCGTATCCTCATTGACAACATTACCGGCGTTATTGTTGGCATCATTATCGTTGGCCCCATTTTCATCTTCGTTAACAATGGCGTCGTCGCCTTCTATTCCCATGACACTCTGTCTCATGGCAATAGCGAGCTGCTGGTCAGGGGTAGCTATTTCGAGCGCCCTGACGGCAGCACGCTCGACCTCGCGTTCCGTCGCAAAGCGCAACTTGTCGATGTTGAGGAAACCATGTTCAATGATGATGTTTGTAATATCTTCGTCGAGGCGTTGAAAGAGGTCCATCTTTGTAGGTTTGGTCTATATCCTCTCCCTTCCATGCTTTCAAGCGGAATGACTTTGATAATTGATGTTGAATGCCTCTCTCGCTCCACGGAATATCAGTACGTCTCGCTCTCCTCGGAGTCGCAGGCTGTCAGCGATAAAAACATACCCAAGGGGGAAAAAAAACGTACTTGGAGTTTCCTTCATTCAGCGTCACGAGGTGGACTGACGAACCAGTGAATGTGTTGTCCCTCGTTATGCATTTCAGTCACTTCCAATAAGCACCGTCATGGTCTTCTGCCATCTGAAGACCAAGACCCGTATTCACTTTGCGCACAAGACACATGGGTAGGGCCCAAGGATACAGAGTATGGCAGCCTTGAACTATGCTTCTTGGAACAATCTACACGGAGGTCGATGCTGGAATACGTGCTGCAGTTGGCTCTTCTTCCTAGACCAAGGCCTGCATGTTCGACTCAAGCTCAGCAGAGCTGAGCAGTGTAGTGCAAACATTTACAGAATTAACTGTCCGGAAGTCGACTTTCGCCCATGGATCTGTGAGAAACGGCCAAGTCAAGTAGGTCAGTAACGAGATTTTGATGACTCGGGAAGTTCAACCGAAACAAATATAGCGGGACAGAAATTCTCGTTTTCAACTTTGGGCCCAAAGCTACCTTCTCAGGCACGTGTACCGTGGTTTCGAAGAATCATACCCAGTCACAGGTCACAGGTGTCATGGAAAACAGCAGAGTGTCATTGAACAGTGACGGACTGACTTGACTCAAATTGATAGATGACAAAAGAGCTGCCTTGCCCCTGCCTATCTTCTAGACCGGATGAAACCGGCCTTGTTCCCACCGCTCCGACATACTAAGGTGTTATGCCCAAAGAGGTGGGGTTGATATATCATCGACTCCCTTACGCCATGAAAGCTGACTCCCTCGTCATACCATAATGGGATATTCTCGTCGACATTGACCGTGATATCTTTACTTGCTTTGTCCAAACGACCGCTGCGCTGCAATATAGTGGCAAGACCTGTTTCTGCCAGAATGAACCCCCAGAACCAACCGCCCATCGGTGGCTATGGCCAATGAACCCCCCCATAAACTCCAAACATTGTAAACTCCGACGCTGCTATCCGGGATATGATTTGAAATGACAAAGAAAGAAAAAGAGTGGTAATAGTAACATCAGATATAAAGTAGAAGATGGGTATAAATGATCAATAACTGAAGTCCACATTACCCATCTGGGATAACATCTTTGCTTCCGCTTCCGTCGAGCTCGCAGTCGCGCCGGTGTTTGTTGATGTTGCTGAATTTGAGTTTGTTTGTGAGGTTTGCGTCGTTTGTGAAGTGGAATTTGTCTGTGTTTGTTGCAGTTCGTGTTCCGGTGGGGGTTGACCACTAGGCGACCATCCTTCGTCTAGAATCTGTTGGAAGCTCCAGCTGGGTTCGAACCTGGTGCTGTTCCAAGCGTAGTCGACACGTTCGTACATCTCATCAATCTGCTCAAGACTGATCTTGCTTGTCTCGAAGACCATGCACCACACAAATAGAACCGCCAAAATGCAAAAGGCACCCCAGAGGAAGAAGATCTTGGGACCAATGTCTGCATAGCCGGGTCCCTGACCAACCATAAATGGAGTGCCGTATGCGATGCCGAAGTTCAACAGCCAGTTGGAAGCGGTCGAAATAGAGGCAGCCTTTGCACGGATCTTCAAGGGGTAAATCTCAGACGTAATAACCCAGCACACGGGGCCCCACGATGCTGCGAAGAAGAATATGTTGATGGCGCAGAAGACGATCAAGATAGTTTGCGCAGCCTGCTGTAGGTTCTCTCCGGCAGCTGTAGAGAAGGAGGCGATGAGGAGTTGACAGACTGCCATGCCGATGGCACCGACCATGAGCAGCTTGCGACGGCCCCACGATTCGATGACAAGGAGTCCCGGGACTGTTCCAACGACATTGATGATGTTGATAATGAGAGCCTTCACGTAAGGGTTCTCAACCCGGGCGCCATCGAAGAAGGACGTGCTGTAGTACATGATGAAGTTGATACCCGTAAGTTGTTGCAGCATTTGAAGGCAACATCCAGTGAGAGTTCTTCGACCAAGATGGGGGGACCCATAAAAGATTTCCTTGTAGGAGTCTGGGCCGAGTGTGAGTTCATACTCGTGGTTTGCCACGATTTCCTGGAGCTCGTCGAGTAGTGCGGGATGGGTAATATCGAGGCGACGGAGGCGACTGAGTGATAGACCCGCGGCTTCTGGCTTGCCCTTCTTGACAAGAAAGCGTGGTGTTTCGGGAAGGACGAGGAGACCGAGAGTTAAGACGACGGCCCACACAAGTTGAAGGCCGAGCGGGATGCGGTAGGCGGCGCCCGAGTCCAGCCTTTCGGTCAAGATGTTCACAAAGGACGCAGACAATAAGCCAATCGTGATGGATAATTGGTAGGCGCAGACGAGTGTACCACGAACCCACTTCGGAGCCATTTCTGACTGATAGACTGGGACGAGGACTGAGATAGATCCGACGCCGACACCAGCAAAAAACCTGTGCGTTTGGTCAGCGACGCGTTGCGCGATGAGCCGGCACAACCAATCCTTTAAGCATACCTTCCGACCAAGAGCATTGGGATGTCGTGCGCGCAGACTTGGAAAATACCGCCAAAGCTGAATACGCCGGCGGACAAGATGAGCGAAATGCGACGGCCCCAACTATCGCCGATGGGTGCGGCGAGGAGAGCACCGAGGACTGTTCCGGCACTTAGAATTGCGACGATGATGGAGGATTCGGCGGGCGAAATAGCAGGCTTCAAGTTTTCGGTATAACCGGTGGAAAAGTCTCGTCGGAAGGCCGTCATGGAGAGGATACCGTTAATCGTTCTACAATCCGTCACGAATCAGCGTCCTGGTCTCGGAAGAATCCCCCCACGAAGACACGAATATGAGCACCAGCGCCATCGCGTTCTTTTCCTCGTCTCGTTCGTTTGTCGTTGACGGTGGTGCTCGATCGTATTGCCGCATTGTGCATAGGTGTCTGCGTGTGCTTACCCAGTGTCGTAGCCAAAGAGCAATCCGCCCGAGGCGACGAACAGACCGACCATGATGGCCGGGGCCGACGAGCCGGCGACATTGTCGGGCTTCTGCCAGCCCATGGCTATCGCCATGGTGAAGGGGGGTTTCGGCTCGAGCAATCCAGAATGGAAGCGTTGTACTATGAGAGGGCGAAACTCTCGAGGGTCGTCGAGAATCGAGGTGGAAATGGGCCGGCGACCATTTGAGTGAAGTGACGGGCGACGGGGACGGGGACGGCGGGCGAGTGAAGAGTGGTGAATCGACGAAGTGTGGGTAACGATGGATGGATAGGATGGAATGGGACAGGACAGGCAGATGGGGTGTGGAGAAGAAAGCAGGGAGACAGGCGAAGGTAAGAAGCACGAAAGGTCGGGCAGTCGGGTCCCGGGTACTCTACGACTAAGGTAGTCAGTCCAGTGACTCCAGTCCAGGTCGGAAGAAGGAGCCACCAAAAAAGCCACCACCGCCCACCTACTGCGTACATACGCCCACCACAGTGGCACAGTGGGAGTCTGAGAGTCTGGGAGTTCTGGGACTGAGAGAACGGGGGCGGCGAGGCACCTCAGAGAATGGGGGCCTGGGGCACAGAGAACACTGTGAACAGCGCGAGTCTGGGGTGTGTGGAACCCAAGACGGAAGATGAACCAGTCAGAGAGATGGAGGGCAAGGGGAAATGTGGAGATGGAGGGTGGGCAAGAAAAGCAACAAGACTTTCCTTTCCCTCTTCCAGTTCTCGCCTTACCTCAGCACGCTCAGATCAGCTTTCTCTCTCTCGAGTCTCACCCCCGCCATCTGCACACAGCACACAGCATCAGCTCGGAAGAAGCAAAGCAGAAAAGGCACCAGCAGCACCACAGTACGTTGTGAAAAAGTGACAGGGACCATACGAGACGCAACAATATACCTACTCAATTCAAAGTTGCGAGGTATGGGCAGAAAAAAAAGGCACAATTAAGCTGTCCCGGAGACAGACTCAGAATCAAACACTGTAAAGCCTCGACGCAACCAACAAGATTGACTTCTGCCACGTCCACCTTCACCCACCCATCGTCCTCTGCTAAAGGGACGAGGGTGGAAGGACGAAGGACCCGTGGCACCGTGGATCAGCACAGTTTTTTGAGGGGCTTTCCCCCCCTCGTCTCCCACAGTATGGGCGACTAGCGATTCTTGGGAACGGGTGACTGTGCCTGTCTTGTCCCCCGTGTCCCCCTCGTCTGGCTCCTCTCTCTTTTTTGGGAACCTCGATTCTTGAGTCTTCTGCTGGGTCTTGTGCTTGGGTTTTGCTGCTTTTGCGAAGGCCCCAGCCCAGTGGCTGCGGCTCTAATTGGTCCCTTTGAGCAAGAGTGGTGCATCCGGCCGTGCTCACCTCGCCAGTCACATACCCCTTTCCCAAGACTATTCCATATCTGGCGATGGCGTCTTTTACTCTTGTCCCCCCTTGGCGCCAGAAAATGAAAGGCGGGATGGAAATATGGAATTGGACGGGGCATTGTATCCGTAAAGTACCGCGTAGTGGACGTGCCTGGACCGTACGAATAAGTATCCGTACCTCGATGAGGTTTGCCAGCTCCCAGCTTGCTGTTCATCTTATTCTGTGATACATAGGGATTTGAACAGACGCTGTTTTTTCAAGTTGTCGGGTCTTCACAGTCGAGCCTCGTGAGCTTGCTTGGAGCAAAGCTGATGTACAGACGAGGTACCCAGGTGGCTGAGTGGCTGAGGGAACTGAAGTGTTACACATGCGACTGCACTGATGCATTTCTCTCGCCAAAACGTAGTCAATCAACCACGTAACTTGCTGGATTATTCCATGGTTTGGCGCTAGGCTTCCCCTTATTTGCGGGGGACGCTGAAGTCTGGAGGAACTTGGATCATGAGGAACTGAAGTCAATCCTGGGGCGGAAGGATGAACTTCTTTCTCGGCATGGCCGCTTGCGTA